CCTTTACTAATACTCTCTTGCCATTTCCACCGAAACTCTTCACTAACTGTTTCACCTTTTCATCTTCTACAACACAGTCCAGTTGAACATCCTCGCCGGTGTTCTTAAGCCCCATAACACGCCCAAACTCAACGGCACCTATTCCAAACACATTGCCGTGCAGTTCTATAGAGGACGTATCAGGATTGAACCTTTGAATCAAAAATTGGCATAGTTGGCGGTGTAAACGAGTGCAGGACAATGATGCCATATTACCGAACCCAATAGCTTTAATTGCTAACCGCTTCTCATTCGACAATTTTTCCACCGTACGATGGAATCGGTCCGGGCTGCATCTAGTGATAAAACCCATCTCATTGACTGAGTCGTCTACTTGCCCCGTCGAACCTTGTACTTTCCCACTCGATCCTTCCAAGGCAGCACCATATGTTGCCTTCTCTGTGGGGTTCAATTTCCTCCACTTGTTAGCAATCTGTTCTTGTACCTGAAAAACAAAATTATCATTAAAAGAGCCTTTTTAATACAATAAATAATAAATTGACCCAATCAATAGCCATCTCTCACCTTACTGTCCAACTTTGCATTGGCTCCTTTCCCCATTTCAAGTCGTTCTTTTTTCCTGTAAATCATTTATTTTTAATCAAAAAACCATCATAATATTAAGCAACCACATTTCCAATTTTTAGATGTACGTGTAACTTACATGAAATTAAAAAATGCATCTCGACCAACTCTTAATTGTTGCACATTACTCTCGACCTTGCGCTTTCCTTTTGCTGATCCCCTTTTTTGAGCTTCCATAACTTGCACAAATCAAGTACAAAACACTGTCATGCAATTGTCTCTAGCGCTGAGATTTTGAATACTAATCCAAAGCCTAATACACCCTAAACCCCCTAAACCCCGTAAACACCACAACATCACACATTGCTTGATTATAAAAATACGGGGACCTGGATTTGCACACAGTTGCTGAGTAATTGCATATACTGATATGCAATTGCACGACACTACTTGCAAGTGCATCAGCCCTCGATTATAACATTGCACAGATAATGCACACAACCCACCCATGCATTTCTCTATTGGCCCGGGATTCTTACTCTTTTCAAATCCCAATCCAAATCTTAACCAATCCTAACATTACACTTTCAGAACACTTTACTCCCCATAACAAAATATTCAAAAACACAGTCAAACCTACCTAACTACCATGAAATCACCTCACTTGCATAATTTGAAAACTAAACTAGATACTGTAATTGCATTCAGTGACTTGGATTTGCATACAGGAGATTAGTAATTGCATATACAGATATGCAATTGCATGAACATTACAACCATGAATGTGAGATACCCACTTCACCTCACGACACTTTCAGAATGAGAAACCCACTTCATCTCATCAATGTGAGAAACCTACTTCCCCTCTTGCCCCAAGTCATCACCACAGAATTTCAATTAACAATAAAATAAAACATAGTGTTGACTTACCTTCACAAGGAACTATTACGAAATGCTTTGAGAAGGGCTCGATTGTAGATGAGAGGAGTGCCAACGCAGTGACTGGAAAAACTGATTTCCAATTCCTATTATCAACCCGAAATACTAACCCTCAAATTTTCCCCAAAATCCAAACCCTAGAATAAGGGGTTTTTGACAAAGAAGAGAGAGAGGTTGCAGAGAGGAGGAAGAAACTTTCTGCAGGAGGAGTTGAAGAAAAGATTATCAGTTTGAAGTTTGAAGTTGCAGAAAAGATTATCAGTTTAAGGAAGAAGAACGTCGAGTGAGCGTGAACGTGAAATCGTTCCCCTCTTCACATCAGCAGCGCGTCAAATTTTTTACTTGTTGACCAGGTCAGCAGGTTTCCCTTGTTTTTAAAAAAACCTCAACTGATGGGCTGTACCGGTGCACCCGATGCACCACAGAAGGACTCCTGAAGAAACCGAAAACACAGGCCCTCCTTCTAATATTCATCCCCCAAATTTAATGCGAATATGTGAACCTAAATTACAATTAATCCATCTTATGGGCTGTACCGGTGCACCCGATGCACCACAGAAGGACTCCAGATACCGTACGTCTTTATTATTAATTGTTGAGAGTTTTACTGTATAATTTGACACGTCTGAGTCTGAGTCTGACTAGTTTTATTGTATAATACGGCTATTTTTCTAAATAAAACTAGCATAATTTAGGAAGCATAAATAAATATGAATCCCCCAACAGCAAAAACAAGAAAACAGTACAGCAATGACAAAACCCGTCAAACCCTTCTTCTTTTACGAAAGGCATGACCACCTTCGAACTTGGCCATGCCAAAAGCAAGAAAAATAGCTTTCTTTTTACATCATCCAAAGTCGCCTATGTTGATCAGATTCTTGTATTTATAAGTTCATTTGATTTATTTTCACATCCTTATAATTTCGTGTGACTCAATACCATCATTACACACGTGTAATTTGTTATTGACCAAATTTAAATGTTAAAAATAATAATATTCTTAAGAGGTTGGTTTTGTCATTGATTTAAGAACTCGTGTCCGTCATATTGCTAATTAGAATGGTTCTATTTATATTTTTTAAATTATTCTAATAAAATTATATCGCTTGTTATCCAAAACCAAAACAAAAAACAAAAAAGAACGCACATACATATTCTTAAGCTTTTTTTTTCAATCATTAATACAAGGCTTTTAGTCAAGTTGACAATGGTGGCTTTTTAAATAGACAAATGAACGTTGACTTTAAAGCTTACCATTATTGGTTGTTTGCCTTAGCCAACAAATAATGCTTGTTGCCCTCTACCAGGCAACATGCATATGGCAGCTAACAATGCATTAATAGACTTATTATTTCAACGTCTTCTTGTATGGCCAAATGACGGATCGAAGTCCTCACTTTGTTGGAGATTCCAAATTCATCAAACCATAACCGTGTGAACTGGATATAATGCAGGTCCTATTATGAATGAATTAGGAAAGGTTCCCATTTTCCTCAACTGGCACTCTAGCTATAAAATATCATTTTATAAATTGTGCACCAAGCTTGCGCTGCCTTATGCTTAGGAGACCTCAAAACCTCATATGCACTAGCTATTGAGAAAACAAGAAGAAAAAGATGAGTTCGCAAACTATGGCCAGAATTCCAGTGGTAGATTTCTCGAAAGCAGACTCCTTTGAAGCCCGGAACAAGCTCTTGGCTCTCGGCACGCAAAGATGTTTGTCGGGCACTCGAAGATCTCGGATGCTTCATGGCAATCTGATGCAGGAGCATCCTAAGCCAAACTAGGGAAGCCCAAGAGATCAGTCAAGCCTCCTAATTACCTCAAAGATTATTGCCCAAAATAAATTAGGAGACCTTTCCTACTGCTGATTTACTTCCTTTTATATTTTCCTTCTGTTTTGGTTTTCCTGATTGTATTAGAATTATAATTCCTTATATTCCTAGGAGGTAGTTGTTATTTAAACCTTTTCTTGTAGACCAATTGGTCACATTGAATTTGAGAATTTATTCAGAAAACGTAGCTAAGTTTAGCTGCAAATAATATCACCATGAAGTACAGATTTCCAATTCCTCGTATATATGATATGTTGGATCACCTGTCGGGAGCAAAAATATTTTCTAAAATAGACTTAAGGAGTGGATACCACCAAATAGGAATAAGGCCCAGTGACAAATGGAAGACAACCTTGAAAACTCGAGATGGTTTATTTGAATGGTTGGTGATGCCCTTTGGATTGATAAATGCTCCTAGCACATTTATGAAACTCATGAACTAGGTATTTCGTCCTTTTATTGGGAAGTTTGTAGTTGTTTACTTTAACGATATTCTGGCTTATAGTCATAATGTTGTTCAACACCTGGAGCACTTGAGACAAAATTTTGAAGTTTTACGGGAGCAGCAACTTTTTGCCAATTTGAAGAAATGTGAATTTTTTACAGACAGTTTAATTTTTCTGGGGTATGTGATATCATCAGATGGTATTAAAATTGATATTAAAAAAATTGAAGCAATAAAAGGGTGGCCTATCCACAATCTATCCACGAGGTGCGAAGTTTCCCTGGCTTAGCTTCATTCCATCGAAGATTTATCAGAAATTTCAGTTCTATTATGGCACCCTTGACTGATTGTATGAAGCATAATATTTTCAGATGGACTGAAACTGCAGAGAAGAGCTTTCAAGCCATAAAGAAAGCTATGACTGAAGCACCATTATTGATTCTACCTGATTACCAAAAGGTTTTTGAGGTAGATTGTGATGCATCCAAAGTTGGGATTGGAGCTGTTCTTAGCCAGGAGGGGAGACCAGTTGCCTTCTTTAGTGAAAAACTCAATGACACTATGGAGGCAATATCTGATTTACAAGGAATTTATCCTTTACTCTGATCATGAAGCATTGAGATTTATCAATGGGCAACACAACTGAATCAGAGACATGCTAGATGTGTGGAAGAATTACAGGAGTACAATTTTGTGATTAAACACAAGGCTGGAATCCACAATAAAGTAGCAGATGCTTTAAGTCGCAAGGTGGCCTTATTATCTGTCATGCAAGTTAGAGTGGAAGGCTTTGAGCAATTGCAGGAGTTATATAAAGGAGACAATGAATTTGGTGAAATCTAGTCCGGATGTGTGCAAAATAATTCGGTACAAGATTACCATATTCAAGATGGATATTTGTTCAAGGGGAGCAAATTAGCATTCCTGATTGTTCTTTACGGTTATGGATAATTGAGGAGCAACATGGGGGAGGCCTTGGAGGACACTTTGGACGAGACAAAACAATTGATCTAGTTGAGAACAAATTTCACTGGCCAAAGTTCGAAGAGACGTGGAGAGGTATGTACAAAGGTGCAGGACTTGCCACTTGGCCAAGAGTCGTAGTCAGAACACGGGGCTTTATACTCATTTGCCATAACCACAAGCACCGTGAGAAGACATTAGCATGGATTTCGTTGTTGGTCTTCCGAAGACAAAACAAGGATTTGATTCAACCATGGTAGTTGTTGATCGCTTTTCAAAGATGGCCTATTTCGTTCCTTGTAAAACAACCATGGACTCTAGCAATATTGCTCATATTTATTTTTGGGAGATTGTCAAATTGCATGGGATTCCTACTACAATTACATCAGATAGAGACACCAAGTTTGTGGGACATTTTTGGAGGACTTTGTGGCATAAGATGGGGACTCGGCTCCAATTTAGCAGTGCACATCATTCCTAAACAGATGGTTAGACAGAGGTTGTCAATAGGACCCTTGGTAACTTATTGAGGTCTTTGGTTAGTAGCAATAAAACGGGCTAGAGTGATGTTTTACCACATGCAGAATTTGCCAATGACCAGTCAAAAAATAGAAGCATTGGAATGAGCCCATTTGAATCTGTTAATGGTCGCAACCCTCTAGTCCAATTGATTTAATTCCTTTGCTCGTGGAGAATCGTTTTAGTGGGGATGCCAATGACTTGGTTGATCATATCAAGAAGGTCCATGAACGTGTTAGCCTTCGATTTAAAGAGAGCAACACAAAGTATAAAGAGAGTGCTGATAAACATAGGCGTTACAAGGAGTTACAAGAAGGGGATTTGGTGTGGATCAACTTAAGAAAGGAGAGATTTCCTCGTGGAAAATATGGTAAATTGCATGATAGAGGTGGTGAACCATACAAAATATTGAAAGGGTTGGTCAAAATGCTTATGTACTTGAGTTGCTGAATGACATTGGTGTCTCACCTACATTCAATGTCGCTCACTTACAAGCTTACTACGGTGAGAATGGAGCCCCAGGTTTTGACTCGAGGTCGAGTCCTTTCCAACTCGAAGAGGCTGATGTAGGAGCATCCCAAGCCAAACTAGGGAAGCCCAAGAGATCAGTCAAGCCTCCTAATTACCTCAGAGATTATTGCCCAAAATAAATTAGGAGACCTTTCCCACTGCTGATTTACTTCCTTTTATATTTTCCTTCTGTTTTGGTTTTCCTGATTGTATTAGAATTATATTTCCTTATATTCCTAGGAGGTAGTTGTTATTTAAACCTTTTTCTTGTAGACCAATTGGTTATATTGAATTTGAGAATTTATTCAGAAAACACAGCTAAGTTTAGAAGCAAATTGTGAGTGTTCATTCTATATTTCTAGTGTCAGTATAGTTTCGTTGGAGGTTTGTGTTTGAGATACCATCTCCGCATCACAATCTGTTGAAATTAATGCACACCTGTGCTTTGAATAATATAGAATAATCTAGAAAAATTGAGAGAAATTGACAAGTTAAAGACGGCTCTACACTAGAAACATCCTACTAATTATATAATGGGTCACCAAAACACCCAAAATGGGAGTTGAAATTAAAAAAAAAACCAAAGCACTATTTAAACATATAAACACACCCAAAACCCATCATTACACACATTCAAAACCCATTTATAAACACACCCAAAAAGTTGACTTTGGGTGTGTTAGTGCTTAAGTTTTTTTATAAATACATGTCTAGAATTGGGTTTATTTATAAATTTGTATTATATAATTAATTGAAACTAGATAATTCTATAATTATAGGACAACAACTAGTGGCTAAAAACACTTTATAAAGTCGGTTACTGTGCAACAATCGACTTGACTAGTTATTTGCCAACTTAGAGAGTCGGTTTAACAACTCTATAAATATGCAAGCAGCCCACTTATGTAATCAAGCAAGAAAAGCTAAAAACTACCAGCTGCTCTGTATCCAACTAAGTCTCTAAAGCTTTGTAACTTTCCTCCTCCATTCAAATAAAATTACCTTGTTACTCTTTCAAAAAGTTTTCAATTCCACATCAAGCTATTGTCCTAAACACTACCAACCACTCTCTAAACCTCTTCTCCCTTAAACTAACACAATCCTACCCAGCAAAGTTCCTCCGGGACTTCACAAAACCATCTTTGATGCATTTGACGAGTTTTTAATTTCCCCGTAGATACTCCTGAGAAACCTTTTCGTGCTGGCTATGTAACTTCCACTTCTGGGCAGAAAACCTTTGGAATTGTTAATGGCACAAACCCTCAAGAAACTCAAGACATTTTTGGCCAACTGAAAACGACCAATTTTGGTGTAAGTATTCTACATATATTTTTGCCTTTCCACTTCGATTTCGAACTATATAGCTTATTAGTTTGGTTACAAGAGTAATTAACTTGTTCTTTGTTGGACAGTGAGAGTGTTGATTTGTATGCAGAAGTGATGGCAGAGATAGATGAAGTTGTGACAAGAATTCTATTTGAAAGCTGTGGTGTGGAGAAGTACCATGACAATCACTTCCGATTGACTTTTCACAATCTCCGGCTTATAAAATACAAAGTACCTGAGAAACTTGGAGGTGACGTGGGTTTACGCAGTCATACAGACAAGACCTTTTCCACCATCCTCCATCAGAATCATGTCAGTGGCCTGGAGATCAATACAAAGAAATGATGAGTGGGTAGCTTTTGATCCTCTACCTTCCTCAGTGGTATCCATAGCAGGTGATGCATTTAAGGTATGCCACCAAATAGTACTTCTTCATGCTTTATTTACCATGTATTTTTAAGTCTTTACATTGCAACAAGTATGGGCACGATCCAAATTGAATCGATTTTTACCCAAAACACAAACCAAACCAATTGTAATATAACAACTCGCTTCAATTCGGTTTTAACAAAAAATCATTAAGGAAAACTGAACTAGAACAAACCCATGTTGAACAGTTTGATTTATTAAAGCTCAAAATCAGAATTGAACGAAAGCATAACAGTTCGTTTGACTTTTTATATGGTTAAAACTAAATCAAATCGGCTGCTACATTTTGGTTGGTTCGGCTAGCCTTAGACACAGAGTCACATTTTGGAGCAACGATCGAATCCGACCCTGTAGACACAAAGTCACATTGAGGAAAAATAAGGTAAGATACTCTTTCAGAGTCCTTTTACTATACAAAGAGGTGATATGAGTACCAGATGAGCTGGTCGACAAGGACCACCCTTTACTCTACAAGCCTCTCAGTCATTTGGAATTTCTTAACACACATAAAAGTGCGGGAGAAACTGAGTATGCCGGCAAGGCATATTGTGCCATTTGATCAATTTTCTTCGGTCCACGGCTCACTCCAAGTCCAAGCTCTTGCGTATTTGGTTCTCTTCTTTTTCTTTCATGTAATTTCTTCTTTTTATTTTTTATTTTTGAAAGAAAATGATGTTTATGGCTTTTCTTGAACACATGTTTAGGTCTTGTTTGGTATCTTACTCGAAAAAGATTAAAAAATTATGATTCTTTTTAAAAACATGAGTTTTCAAATAATGATTTTAAGATCTAAAAACTTGTTTGGTATTGAACTCCAAACTATTTTTAAGATCTTAAAAAATTGAAATTAAAATTAGAAACCCTAAATTCCCAAATTAAAATAAACATAGGAGAGAGAGAGAGAGAGAGAGAGAGAGAGAGAGAGAGAGAACTATTAAACCTCTATTATAAAAGTAATGCTTATTTACTGTAGCACGCTCTGAAATTTTGATCAAATCTCACTTTATCCCCCGGAAGTTAAAATGACCCACTTAAACCCTTCGACCAAGGTTTTGTGTTCCACTTTGCCCCATACCGTTATCTCCATTCATAACTCCATCAATATTGATGACGTGGCAGGGCTATTTTAGTTTTTTTTTTTTCCAACAAGTGATGATGTGTCATGTGAAGACTTCACTTCTATTTTTGTGCTTAAAGTGGACTAAAATATTAATAATAATAATAATTATTAATTAATTACTTACTTACTTATTTAATTAAAAAATTGAAAAATTAATATAAAAAACTTATCTTCTTCTTCTTCATCTCTCTCTTTTCCCCAGCAACCATCGCACACCAACCCCTCCTACTCCCCAATACCATCTCCTATATCCCTCCACCATATAAACCACCATACCTACATATCCAAATATCAAAACCTACCATCTAAATCACCATACCCATTATAGGTGGTTCATTGCTAAACGGAGGTATTTAAGATTAGGAAAGTTTTATGGCAGTGGTTCTTGGAAATGGTTAATTGAGAGATTGAAATATTCAATTTGGCCCAGATTGGTAAATACATGTTTTGGTATTTGGCTAGCAAAGAAATTTCAAGAAAAGCTAGGAACATCAAGTTCCCACATTCATATATTAATTTTCACCAAATCCAGACCTGTCGTTGATGAAGGCCATGTTTTTAGGAGACTAAGAGTTTGGGTTGATGGGGTGTGCTGAGAAAGAAGGGGCAGGTTCAAAATAAGGGCTAGGGAAGGAGGAGGCCGTGGTAGGGTGGGTGACTGTGGATGTCGGGGCTGGGCTTGGGAGAAGAGGAAGGAACAGAGAGAGAGGTGGGGGTGTCTTGAGAACTTGTGTGGTGGAAGAGTAGTAAGGGTTGGTTGCTGGGTGAGTGATGTTTGGTAAGGTTGGAGTGGTGGTGGTAAGGGTGGCTTTGGGTTGGGTGGTCGTTGTAGTCTGATAGTGTGAAGCTAGGGGAAAAGGAGGGGACGACAGAGAGAGAGATGGAGAAGAAGAGATTTTTTTAATATTAATTTTTTTCCATTTTTTATTTTTATTTTTAATATTAACAAGTAATTACATTATTTAATTATTTTTATTAATATTCTAGTCTACTTAAGCAGAAAAAATGGGGCCTATATCTGATACATCATCACTTGTGATAAAAAGACTAAACTAGTCATGTCACGTCATCAAAATTAATGGATTTATTAATGGAGATAATGGTATGGGATAAACTAGAACACCAAACCTTGGTCAATGAGGTTAAGTGGGTCATTTTAACTTTCGGATGATAAAGTGAGATTTGGCTAAATTTTTAGGGAGTACTACAGTAAATAAGCCTAAAAGTAATAATCATAGTATGAAAGTACCACTGAATATTGAGAGTATAATCGTATTTGCTCTTGTGGTTTTTATACTGACAAAACTTTCTCCCTCTAATAAAACTCTTCTAAGATATAGCTCTCATACTCTCAAATTTCTCTCTCTATTTTCTCTTTGAATTGGTGTATTTTACAACTAAATGAGCAAGTCTATTTATAGACAAATTGGATGGCTTCTCATGGACTTCATTACCCAACATCATCATTAAGCTTTTGACTATTATTTTTTTCTTTTCTTTATGTGGGTTCCAGCACTTTCATTACAACACTACCCCTTGGAGACCACATGTCCCTAGATTGGTTGCCTCATTAAAACCTTGCTTAGAAAAACCCAGTGGGAAAAACCTAAGTGAAGGAAAAAGAGTACAACTTTATTTGGGACATAAGGATGTTAAATGCACTCATGTTGCTTTGTTAAAACCTAGTGAGAAAAACCCTAGGAACATGTAGTTTCTAAAGGGGAGTGTTGTAAAGAAAGTAGTGCAGCCCACATAAACAAAAAGAAGAAAATAATAGTCAAAAGCTTAATGATGATATTAGGTAATGAAGTCCACGGAAAGCCATCCAATTTGCCTATAAATAGGCTTGCTCATTCAGTTGTAGAACACACCGATCCAAAGAGAAAAATAGAGAAAGAAATTTGAGAGTGTGAGAGCTATGTCTTAGAAGAGTTTTATCAGAGGTACTCAAAATATTCAATGGTACTTTTCATACTCTAATTATTACTTTTATAACAACCTCACTTTTTTTGTTTTTAATAATGGGAATGTTTTTGAGTTTTTCTTGGGTTTGAGTTTTTAAAAATAGCAATGGATTTTTATGACTTTGGACTTAAAATATGTCTTTGAGTTTATAAAATTGGATATCAAACAGACCATTAGTGTTTATATGTTTTCTTTCTCATACCAAATTAAAGCTACAAAACACAATGCCAAAGCAAATCATCAAAAACCACACATTAAAAACTAAATATCCATATATAAAATAAGAACCAATTTTCCAAATTCTAATCCATGGAATACACCATTGGATGTGCTCTTAGGCCATCTTCAACCCATGAGGCCAAACCCAAAATATCTCAAATTCTCTCTCAACTCAAGAAAATGAAAGGACCAAAATTTGGAAAAACCCAAACTTATTGCCAAATAGCAATCCAACTATTGCCTAGACTAAAAAAAATTCAATGGAGCCCACTTGCTGCAGACATAGGCATGTGCAAAGGAATCAAAATGAGGCTCGCGATGCAGTGGTTGTTGGCTACCCGATGCAAGTAGCATGTCAAGTGTCGCCTTGTAGTGATGTTGCATTGGAATCTAACAACTTAGATTTAATCTAAATCATTGATTTATGTTACTAAATAAAAAATAAAACGAAGTTTGAATTGTTGTCATTGGATTCCAATAGCAACATCACTACAATGCGACACTTGGCACGCTATATGCATTAAGCAGCCAACAACCATTGTAGTACAAGCCACATTTTAATTTCATTGCACACACCTACATCAGTAGCAAATGGACTCCGTTGAAAATTTTTTTAAGTCCAGACAATAGCTGAACTACTTTTTCACCCAAAGTTTGAATTTTCCCCAATTTTAGCCCCTTTATTTTCTTGGATTAATAGAGAATTTGTGCTAGAATTTGGTATATTTTGAGTTTGGCATCATGAGTTGAAGAAGGCCTTAGGCCTTCTCCAACCAATGAAGGGCGAACCCAAATTTTTCCCTCCAAAAAGTAACTATTTGAGTTTTGCCCAAACTCAAATAATTTTTTCTCTCAACCCTCCGGACTCAAATTTTAAGCCCACAATTTTATTAAATTATTTAAGAATGATTTAAGTCTAATTTTTTTTTTTTATGGATAACTTTTCTTTTTATTCAATATTTTAAAATAACTTCATAATTAATCATTTTAAAAAATTTCACCAAAAAAAAAAAAATTCCACAAATATAATTTTATTCCAAAAGAAAACACACAACATAATATTATTTGAGAAATGAATGAGTATTTATAAAGTTTAGAGTGAGTTTTGTGGTTAGATCTTATTTAGATTAATTTAAAATATTATTTTGAACATTAAATTTAAATTTTAACAAATCATTTTTTTACCGTTAAAATAGCTTAGATTTAATGTAGATCATTGATTTTTAAGTTATATGTATACACCAACATCTACAAAAACAACAGCTTCTTCAAATGTTTGCCGTCAGGTTCCAACGGCAACTACACAATTGAGCAACACATGGCGATGGAAAAGAAGACAAAACCAACAGCGAATCTAGCGTTGGGGCCCACGTCAGAATCTCTGCACATGTGGTCTATTTTAGATGTGGAGGTCTCCACGAAAAGTTTTGAATCTAGACAATACTTGGACTAGTATTTAGGCTCAAAAAAATAAAGAAGCCAAAATTTGAGAAAACCCAAATACCAGTCCACTTATTGTCTGGACTCAAAACTTTTCGTAGAAACCACTTACATTTGAAAACATACCACATGTGAGAAAAACTGACGTGAGCCCCAACGCCAAAATTTATGGTACTTTTGTCTTCTTCTACTAGGCCACGTGTAACGCTCCGATGTAGCTGTCGTTGGAATCCAACGACAACATTTGAATAAATTGCTGCCTTTTTTTTTAATAAAACTTCCAAATTCAACATTTGAATATATATATATATATATATATATATAGGGACACCCCTTGTAAGCCCCACTCTGGATTGTATTTCACTAATCCAAACGGTCTATTTTGTAGATACTCATTCAAAGATCATCTCTACAAAAAATCACTTGAATCCGATATCATTTGACCATTCAATTGAGTTATTGAAATTTTAATACTTTCTTAAAGCACCTTGTTCATTGATTTTGTAGGACACAATTGGATGTCAAAACAGTTTCCGATTTGTCTAATTTTTTGTAAGGATGATCTATGAATGAAAACCTAAAAAATAGATGGTTTGAATCATTGGAAAAAAAATTATAGGGTACCCTAAAGGGCATCCCTCAAATAAAATTATTTGAGGGATCCCTCAATAAAAAGGGACTGATATATATATATATATATAAATTATTGCCTTTTTTTATTTATTATTTATATACACATAACTTAAATCAACGATCTAGATTAAATCTAAACTATTTTAACAGTTTTAAAAAAAATCTAACGGCTGAAATTTAAATCCAACGATCCAAATAATATTTTAAATTAATCCAAATCAGATCCAATCCCAAAACTCACTCCAAACTATATGACTCACCCATTTCTCAATTAATCTACCAAAAACATTTTGAAATTTATGGAATTTCAATTTCTTTTAGGTCAAATTATTCAAAAAATCAAATTATTATTATAAAAATAAAACGGACAGAGCATAGGAAATACCACTGAAAGTTGAGAGTACAACACGTGTATGAATGAGCACCACCAAAAAATAAGAGATGAAACCAATATGAAGAAAATAAGAAGGTATTAGTCAAAAGATGAAATTACGATGTTAAATAGAAATAGAAATGATGCCTATTTATAGACAAAGCAAATGACATCTAAGGGAAACATAATGATCCTTCCATCCAATATCATAATTTCATCTTTTGACAAATACTCCTTATTTTCTTCGTGTGAGCTTCATCTCTTACTTTATAACAATTATGACATTATTTAAAAAGATTAATGAAGAAAAATTTTCCATTAAAAAATATAGACATAAACCATTCTTAAACATTTTAATAAAGTTGAAAATTTAAAATTTGAGTCCAGAGGGTTCGAAGAAAAAATATTTTAATAAAGTTGCAAACCTAGTGATTCCTCCACGTAATCTAGTTTATCTTTGATTTGTTGTTTACTGTATGGTAGAATGCAATTATGAATTTCTTTTACCTGCCCAATGTTGATTTAAAAAGACAACTAGATTTGCTCACCCAGTAAAAAGACAAGACTCTTTACAAGACCATCCCCAATCCCCAAAAAATTGAGCCACAACCCCTCATCTCTGCAACCCCTAAAAATAATATATAAATGCCTTAATAATGGATTGTGGAACCTACACACAAAACACTTGAGCCCAAAATCAGGCCGCAGAACAGCCCAAAAATGCTATTTCTGTTGTGTGGATCTAAATTTTGTGAAGCTATTCGTATACGTGGGGTGGCAAAGTTTCATTATTATCGTCCAATTTACATGTTCAGGACTAATTAATAGTTCAAATGAGATTAAGACACTCTTCATTGTAAGGGTGTCTAGATCATTTGACCTTAAAATTAAGATGAAAGTCTTCTTTATTAATTTTAAAACCAAGTGAATTCCAAAATATCAGACTAATTAGCAATGTAACTTGGCTTAACAAAGAGATGGGACAAAACATGTCTTGCTTTCAAGCTCAACAATTTAGAGAGACAACAATTTGTTGTGGCAAGACAAATCTGAGATGCCTTCCTACTTGCCCTTTCACTTAGGGAGACAATCTAGCAAGACAACCAAAGTTACCTTAGCACACCACCATTGTCACATTCCAAGCAGTGAGATTAAAAGCAAGGCAATGTCTCACCTCTTATTGGCAAATATACACTGTTAAAAAGTGAGGTAATTTGGGTCACTCAATTTTTATAATATTAGCATATCTTTACAGGCAAAAACAAATAATAAAATTCTTTTTAAAAGAAGAAAAAAATAATAGAAAGAACAAGGGCATCAGTTCTCCAAGGTGATAGATAAAACATCAATGAATGTTTCAGATGCAAATTACCCATTAATATCAATGAGGATCATCAACTGCCCAAATAAATAAAAACATAAAATAATCCAGAATTATCAAGAATTTTGCACACGATCCAATTCAAAACAGTGTGTGCGAGAGTGAATGAAATTAGAAGTGAGAAAGCGATCAGAACCTGTCGGGATTCACAGTAACATCACACTGTTACAGTCAGTGGATTGACAGACATGAATTTCTATCGTCACCTCGCTTTCTTCTTTTCACAACAATTTTTTTGGCTAAAACATGAAGATTACAACAAATAAAGAGGGAAAAAAGAAAGGGCTGGAAGAAGGAGACAGCTCAGAACTTCTTAGAGGGTTGTGACCGTCATAGAAGGTGCTCAAGAGCTCCGACTCTGGACACAAAGAGTTTCATCAAAGCTATCAATTATAGTGAATTTTGATACAAAACACGGAAAGGCTCATAAGGGAGGGAGTAGAGGCTGCTTCTGTAGCAAGAGGCGAGAAAGGGTGTTGGAGGTGAGAGGAAGCGGATGCAGAAGAGGCAATTTATAGGCACCACGAGAGAAACCCTAGTTTCTTATTGAATATGGGCTGAAACGTCGGCTGGACTGTATAGGGTAATGTTTTGTATGGGCTTTGAAAACGGGCTGCTGCATCACGAATATTTATGATATTTTGGAGCAATAATTGCTGAAGTTGTGTCCTATTTTGGTCATTAAAATGACAAAAAGGGTTATTGTTAAAAATAAAAAAAGGGTTTTTTTTTTTCCCCCCCTTTTTCCTTTTTTTTTTTTTTTTTTTTTAGCAATGTTTGCCCTAATGCCAGTTCTCCGGGACTATTGCTCCTCTTATTATTATTTTTAGGGTTTCTTTTTTCCACAAATTGTGCCTCATGTTTTCAAATACTTAATTGAAAAATACTTATCTCCTTCTCCAATAAGTAGAGACTCTTAAATTATTGTTAATAATAGTTTGACACATATATATATATAAGTTTTTCTTTTTTGCGTATTTGATGAATTATTTTTTCACCAGTGTTTGGAATTCAATGCTCGTAAAAAGAATAATTTAAAATTTTTGAGGGCCCTCTGCAAAATTTAAACTGGAACCCCAAATAATTTAACTCGAAAATATATATATATATATATATAAATGCAATGACCCAATGCCCTAAAAACAAATTTTTATATTACTTAGATTCATCATCAATTAACATGTAAAACTAATATCCACAAAAATCTCTCAAGAAAATATGTCAAGTATAATTGTATGGTATGGTAATACTGTCTAGTTGGTCATGGATTCAATGTTCATTGAGGAGAAATTTTTGTTATTTCGACAAAAGAAGTGAAAAAGAAATCACTAAGACCGCAATTGTGTAAATATGTTGTGCGCTCACATATATATACAATGTATTTATGTATATATAATACATGTATAAAAAAATTCAAGACCCTACAAAATCGGAAGTCGTGTATGGTGACACCACTTGCACTATGCCAGGGGCGGCCCTGATATCGGCAATAGTTATTTCTTTGGACAAGTATTCATCGTCACTAAAAGAACCATTGTACCGATATCATGGAACTTCTCCTTGGTTTGAGCCATGAAAAAAGAAAAGTTTTATTGGTTGGACTGTTCATTTTAAACTGTTTAAATGTTATCTAATTATATTTTTTATGTTTTCGCTTAGGATTTGCAGTAACATGTGCAAATACAGACAAATCATCCTATGCTCTTGTTATTGACATGTTATGGACTTGCTACAAGTTGTGACCTAATAATAATTTTATTGATTGACCTTTTTACACTATTGGTTCTTTATTGGCTAGTAAGAGTGTTGATATGTATGCAAAAGTGATGGAAGAACTAGATCAAGTTGTGACAAGAATGGTATTTGAAAACTATGGCATAGAGAAGTACCAATGACGATCACACTTCCAATCTTCGATTTACAAAATATAAAGAACCCAAGAAAACTGGAAATTCAGTGGGTCTGGCCGGTCATACAGACAATACTATTATCACCATACTGCATAAAAATCATGTCAATGCTCTGTAGATAAACACAAAGGATAATGAGTGGATAGGTTTTGATCCTTTGCCTTCATCCTGCCTGTTCCTAGCTGGTGATGGATTTCAGATATGTCACACCATTTCATTGATCTTGCTTTTTCATGGATATACATATACATGATACATACATATATATATATATATATATATGTGTGTGTGTTCATCAGTACTATATAACCAATTCTTTTATAATAGTCGACAACAAACTCAGCTATCTCATGTTTACTTACATGGAATGGGTATTAGAATTATTCTCATTCCTGACTTCCCCTTTACTAATATATGAGTATGAGAAACGGTCAAATTCATGAATTCTCATGCATTTACTAACACGTTAAAATTTGTAAGTCAATGCCTTAAAAACGAGGAATTAAGTTTTAGGGGGGGAATAGTTGATCTTGTACTCATTTCTAATCTCCCATGCTCATAACATTCCCCATTCCAAATAAGTAAATATGTCAATGAGGTTTTATATCTATAAACTCATATCGTTATGACCGGATGAGACAGAGTGAGTCAAATTAAGTTTTAGGAGTAAAGTGAAACATCAAGTGTAGTTAAAGGAGGGGAGTGAAACATGAGCCTAACTTAAACTTAAACTTTTGGTAGTTTGATACTTCAATCAATACATACTGGCAAGAATTTTTCAGTGATTAACTATCTATGCTGTATATTGCAAGATGAATAAAGATCTCAGATAGGATGTTTGCATTCTTTGGTTGGCCTAGGTTTGGAGCAATGGCAGAATAAGATCTTGTAAACATAGAGTGACTTTGAGGGAAAATGAGGTCAGATACTCGTTGGGGCTATTTTCTTTCCAGGAAGGGGTGATACAAATACCCAACGAGCTTATCGACAAGGACCACCCAATCCAATATAAGCCAGTGCACTTGTTGGTATGTTCAATATTATCAAGCAAATTACTCCACCATTGGAACTGATTATTCCGTCAAGGACTATTGCGGGGTTTGATTTTCTTCTTTTAGGGGTCAAAGAATCCAAGCTAGCTCATCCCTCTTTCTTTTGCAATGTACTTTTTGTTTTTGTTTTCCATAGCAAATGTGTCGTGTTTGTGTCTGTTTTTCTTAACAAATGTGTTGTGTTGTGTTTGTTTGTTCTTTCAGTATAAGTTTATGTAAGGTTTTGTTTCTTATTTGAGATATCAATTTGTGGGCGAATTGTAAGAGCAGCTCCAGCGCTGCTATCAAACTGGGCAAAAGGCCCCCCCGGGCAAGCCCAATACAGCTCCAGCACACCACTTGCAGCCCGGGCAAGCTCTGCAGCCCGGGCAAGACCAAGGGCAGATTTTGCCTGGGCTTCAGCCCGAGGGCGCTGACGTCAGTGCTGGTGTTATGCTGACGTCAGCGAGCAAAAAAAAATTCAAAAAAATTCAATTTTTTATAAAAAAATACCAAAAAATTATGGATATTTTCCCTATAAATACATAACAATTTTATTCACTTTCCCTATAAATACATAACAATTTTATATTTTGTTGCACATATATATTTTTTTTCTTGCCCTTGACTTGCCTTAAACTTTGCCCTCATGGGTGGAACCACAAATGCAAAGGCTGACACTATTCACGTGAATAGTTGCAGCCCTTGCCTTAGACTTAGCTCTTGTGGGTGGAGATGCTCTAGAGCATCTCCAAGAGAATAGGCACCCAAGTAGGTAACCTGGTGAAGTGGTCGAGTTGGCATGACCAAATCAAGTTGGAGGTCCCATACCATACATTTTATGTTCCCTGTTATGTAACCCGGTGTTGGGGTGTTACGATAAATCTCAAATTTTACATCAAACCTAACTTGTAGAACTTCCACAATCTTTCTCTAATGCCATAAGCTCATTGAACAAGGTTTTTTATTTCTATAAAAAAAAGATAAATATAATTTTTATATATTTAAAAAGAAAGCACAAAAATGATCTATAGAGAACCAATAAAAATAGAAGATTGGATGGGGAAATCAATGTGCTATGATGTAGATTTTGAAGGAAGTGATTGGAATTGCCTATCATCCTTATCTGGTTTCACTGAAATATGCTACTCACAGAAGAATCATCATGAACACGCCAAATAGTTTCACCCAACAGGTTTGCTACTGAAAGCACGGTCAACTGGGGAAAGTAATTCTTCTCCGCAACAGGAATTGTGTTCGTTACAATCACCTCTTGAAACAGGCCATTTGACAACCTTTCAATTGCAGGAGGGCTGTGAAGAAAAAGCAACAAAAGAAAAGAGTCAAAAAAGAGGAAACAGAAAACAAGTCAAAAGATTTGAAGTTCTAGCAGTTCTTGTTTGCAGAAGATCTTGTGCATCTAGAGTTGGAATTTTGATTAGTAACAGGCTGCTTAGACTTACAAGAAATTTATCAACTTAGAAAGGGAAACATAAAAATAGTCAAAATATTTGAAGTTCTAGCAGTCAAACTAAAAGATGAAGGTTATCTCTAGATAGAAGTAAAAACAGCAAAGAGCCATGACATGCATCTACTCAAATAAACAAAGAAGATGAAACGCTTCAAAGGCAGTTGATACCTAAACACAGCATGAGTACAGCATGCATAGACTTCCCTTGCCCCTTCTTGATGCAATAGAGCTGCACCTTTTGAAATTGTCCCTACAACATGCAACTCATTTAGAAAAGGAATCGAAAACTGCCAGCAATATGATATATCACATGCGAGCTGGTTCAAGAGAGGTAAGCACACGTCAATCTGACCATGAGAATAATCTCAGGGAAATCATATCACATATCAGCTGCAACATTTAAATCTAACTGGAGACATGGATGGACAGGAGAAGTTCACATATGCATGGTCATTCCCCCAAAAGAATCATGCAAAAACTTCAAAAATGGACACAAATGTTAGCTGGTATAAAAAGGTAATGACAAAAGAGGATTAAAGGCTTTAGCCATTGAAATTTATTTAACCTAAACAAGGAAAGTAATGAATCATATATAAAAAGCATATGTTCAATTTGACTTTTTGTATCCTTTTATTTGGTTATTTATTTAAATTCAATTTGCTTTGTCTTTTTCTTCCTCTATATTTCATTTTTATTTGTTTGAAATTTATGTGCAAGGACAAATATACGATGTGAAATTGACATCAAGATCACTTGACTCACCAGCAGTGTCGATCATATCATCCACCATAACTGCAACTTTTCCTTTTACATCGCCAATCAAGTTCATCACCTACACAGGTGAAAAATTAGAGATGCAACAATTCCTTGCTCATTGGCAGTTTATTGGTTAGTTACAGTAATGAGGTACAACATTGACAGCCATGCCATTATGCACCCGTATATTGTCCTAACATTTTGTAATGTCCCCAAAAAACTAGTTTTAAGAGGATAAATAAAAACTTAGAACGATGACAGAGACATGGGACACATGACATGATTTATGACCAAAAAAAATTCATGTCAGTTGATGGGATGTAAACATTTCAGCCAGAATGACCACAGTATATTATATCCCTTCAGCAAGTATAATGTTGCATGTGAAGCATTATAAGACATACAAAGATTAAAGCAGGCCGTTGCTGCAGAAATTACCTCAGCAATATTGTGTCCTTGACGTCTTTTGTCTACAATGGCTAAAGGTGCATCAGATAATTTTTTTGCAAAAGCACGTGCTCTCGCAACTCCCCCAACATCAGGGGACACCACGACCAAATCATCAGAACAAATTGTCTTGCTGGCAAGATAATCAAGGATCACATGCTAAATTGCACATGAGAAACATAGTGAGTTTTAGAGGACACAAAGCTTTTTACAGAGTCAAGAATATAAAATCAGTGAGCTGATTCACCTCGCAATATACATGATCTACTGGTATATCAAAGTAACCTATTGACTGCCCAGAGTGAATGTCGCAAGCAAGAACACGGTCTGCACCTGCTACAGTGATGAGGTTTGCAGCCAGCTTGGCTGCAATGGACTCACGCCCTTGAGTCTGGAGGAAAAAAGAAAGAACGCATATTCCAGTTCAAATGCCAAAAACGATGTGCTTCAATTAAAATAAAAGTAATATAACTATAAAGAAGTTGAACTTGTAACAAACTTAATGGTATGCCCTCCGGCTCCCATTGACAAAGTATGAATAAACCACCCAGAATGCCATAATTCCTTAGTTTTGTTTGTAATCTTTGACCTCCAGGTACTTTCTACTGATAATATCCTAGAAAAGTTAACCTAAAACACTACGAAATAAACTTGCCTTTCTATCAGCTCTGGAATATCCGAAATATGGAATTACAGCAGTAATATTTTTAGCCGATGCCCTCCGACAAGCATCAATTACTATCTGTAGCTCCATGAAGTTCTCATTTACAGGAGGGCAAGTTGGCTGCAGTAAGAATACATCACATCCTCTAACACTCTCTCCCAATTGGACGTAAACTTCACCATCTGCAAAGCGCTTTATGTTGATCTTCCCAAGCTCCAATCCCATGTACCAAGCAATTTCCTAACCATAATTTACTGATAGTTAGCAATCACAAGCACAAAGCCCCAAGAACTATAAGTGATTTATTGTGTTGAAGAGACAAATATATAGGAAAGATGGTTAAGAAGTTTCTTAAGTAATAAACAATTAGTAAACAGCTAGAAATATACAACTAAAAGCATCCAACATTTTTCACACAGCTTCAAAAACTGAAGACGAAATGCATGTGACAACCTGATGTTTAAATATATAAAAAGGGAGATTGTAACATGTCAGCCAATCTAACAAGTAAATCATCAGTATTAAAAGGCAAAACATGCTCTACCAGTAACTGTTAATGTCAAGGAAATGTGAAATTGCCCTTTGAAAGGTGATGTCTAACATATATACGCTAAATCAAAAGCGAATTCTGATTACCTGAGAGAGAGCAGGATTTGCTGTGCCAGAAAACAGTTTGATCCTAGGACTAGTTCTGTTAACTGACTTCTCCAAGCGTGCTGATTCCAAGAACTTGGGCAGCGTCCGTTCGTTAACAATAGGAATGATTGGCTTCCCATTTCCGTATTTAATTGGCTCAGCCATATCACATTTCTACAACAATAATGTGAATACACAAATCAGCAAAACTTTATTTAGCTGCATCCAGATACCCCCAACAAAATTTCACCCAACACGTCAAAACTATTAAAAGTTGAACAAAATTTATGTTGGAAATTGTCAAAGCCAACCCCTTTCCTTTTCTCTTTCAGGAATTTTATGTTTTTACAAGGCCATTTAAAGCTCCAGCCTCAAAGGAAACTGCTTTTTGTTTCAATTTTGAAAGCTGAAACAACATTGAAAAATTTCGAGTTCAAACTAGAGAACATAAAAATGCAAATGTGTGTCGGTACACTTACGACGCTATTAGGAGCGTAGATTCGAGAGCCGGAGTCGTTGGGGAGCAGAGTTTTATGGCTGATAGAACAGCGAGAGAAGAGAGACGAAAAAGACGACGCCATTGACGACGACGAAGAAGAAGACGTCGGCATAATGAGTGAGGCCGCCATACCTTTACCAGTATAAAACTTAGGGTTAGGGTTGGGGCTAGGGTTTTGGACAGAGAAGAGGGAGGGTGCCTTGGTGTGCTTTGGGGGAAGCTCTGAGAGAGCAGTGTGGCTCTTTATCTATGGCGGGGGTCTCTGTTTTTTCCACGGCATTTGCATTTTCGTATTTTTCTTTTAAAATTATTATAAAATAAAAAAATAAAAAAAGGGGTGGTGGCGGAGGTGGTAGGTCCAATACGACACCGCTTCGCGTGCTGCACGTTACTTAAGGAAGTGGGGCCAGTCAAATCCATGTGAACCAATTCATCACGTCCCAATACCTTGTACTTGGTAACGCTTTCATACGTTGGTTTCGCTTTCACTCACCACCTTTTTTTTCCTTCTCACTCACTTTCTTCTGTTTTTGGTCGAAAAGGCAGGAGGATTTGGATTCATCGGCTCGAAATTTGGTGCCAGTTTCCATTCCTATGGTCAACTAAAATGGAATCTTATTAGGCAAAAGCTAAAGTTGGAATCTTTGAATGTTTTTTTGATTTTATATTCCCTATTTATCTTCTTTGACAAAGAAAAAGGTTCTATTTGTATGGTTGATGAAAATCATTCCAAAAATATGGAAAGTAAAATCACCTTGCAAGTTTTT